AGTGTGGAGTTTGAACACGACCACGGAGTGAGGAGCACTCGATGCGATTCTTGTGACTTCACGCATTGTCGACATTTCCTCCGTCGTGATCGGTGACGGTCTACAATGTCCCGAGGTGTGGGGATGATGGGGCCGCATGTAGTAACAGCATAACTATCTTCATCAACCGTAGCAAGGCGGAGGACACGTTAACAGAAGACCAGGCGCGATTACTGCGGGTGGTTTCCGCTTTTAAGCACAGTAGTAATTCACGAATGAAGGCGAAGTTTCGAGTTCCAGGTGAATGCATAGGTGAAGAAGAAAGGTCGAGCACCGGAACACTTCGTTTATTGTCCTGAGCTTTCAGACTCGTGCAGGAGTCCATCGTCAGAGAACAAGCGATAGTTATAGGGCATGTAGGCCAATAATCGACCGACGGCGCAAGACTGGAGGTGTCGGAGGAAGTATCCCTCCAAACAACTTACCGCAGCAAAGAAAATGATCGCGTCAAAAATGACGTGGGCGTAAATCGAAGCCGAGGTAGCTACACGTACCGAGCTCGAATTCGAAATTCACTTTCCCTCCGAGCGCCAGGTGGGGAGAGGGGGCAGGTATGACCGGACACACGTCAAGTCGGACTAGGAGGCTTCTTCTTTACTAGGCCATGGCACAGCGAATGCGCATTGTCGTAAAGAAGTTGACCGACAAAGCGTTTCACTGCTGAAAAGTGCCTCGACTGATAACCCAGACTGTAGGCGAATAAAAAGTCGCACGTACGCGCGAATTAGTTTTTTTTATAGATTGATCGGGTGTACCTTCTACCGCGGTGCTCACCGTGGTGTCCTGTTGGTAAATATCTGAAGGCCTATTTTTGACTCTGGCACTTTGTGAGTCTGAACTGGGGTGCTGTACGACGGAACAGCGTGCATTGTGCGAACAACTACCGGCCGCGATGTACTGGAAGAAGGGACAGTGTGGAAATGCGTGATGAATCACGTTTTCGAAAGTCTGAAACTCGAGGATGGCTCACGCAGCGTGCAACCCCTAGGTCCTGTCGAAGTTTGTTTAGGAAATTGGCGGAGGACAATGCCAGAATGAGCCGTTCAGATTTAACGAGAGTGCCAGATATTCCACACAATACCTAATGAATTGGCCGAATGGCGGACGAAGACACTGTCGGAGATATTTTCCCAGTTGTCACTGCGAAACAACGATGAGTCCTTCCTAGCCCGGATTGGTCATACGACAAGAGATATTAGTAAAGTGCCCGTCCGAACATATGTATGTTAGCCGGTCATTGACTGGTTCCCGCTGAAGCGATACCTGAATTGTCCGCTGTGAGGACGATCGCCACACCGCGCCTGCTAGAGAAGTCACATTGTCGGGGTGGGAGTTGAGATCTTTGTTTCCAGAAAGTCGTAGTTGGGTATTCAGACTTAAGACGGGCAGCAGATATCCACGTTATACTGAAGGCTGCGTAGTACCAGCTGTTGGGCACTAGGGTCAGGGAACGTTCGCACATTCCACCATCCATTACCAAGGATCCGTTTTCGATCAAATAGTCCCGGCTCGCATGCCGTTTGTTCGCACCAGCTGATCAAGCTTGCGTCACAAATCAGATCTCGTGGGCGCCCTAGCATGGATCATAATATCTGGGTAGGAACCTTTCATTCTTTTCTCGGAAATTTTAACTGCAGGCGGGTACCAACAACCGCCTGGATGGTTTATTCAAATCCCTCTCCGGCGTTTTGGTTAAATATCCCAGGCGGAAGGCAGCGGTCGCAAGCAAACTTACTTAGGACAGTAGGTGGGCTAACTCATGAAATCTCAACAGAAATTCCGAAATGCGTTTCCGTTTAGAAAAGACTAATTAAGTAGGGTTGTAAAACCAATCATCGTGCGGCATAATTCTATAATAATTCAGTTACCCCAGTACGCCGGCCTTCGAGCAAACTTCTTTCCGTTTGCATCTAAAAACCATACGCCGTAAAAATGACTACTTATGTAACATGCATTTTTCATTGAGTTTCGATGCCCTTAGAGATTCATTTATATTTCATGGAAAACATGCATAAAAAGATTCATTTTTGCTCATTCAGTAGAAAATTACGTCTTCTTTCAATTTTGCACTCGAAGGAAGGGTATAATTCGGTTTAAAAAGTTTCTAATTGCGAGATTTTTTAATACCGTGAAATGGCCCTTCATAAAACGTCATGTCTCTGCATTTACCAATGTGGCTTGTAAAGTTAACAATGTGGCTAAAATCCACTGGTCAATTTTACGAACCCCGTATGGTCCCCTCTTTATACCGTAGAGAAATCTATGGTTTTCCGTACACGGAAGATACATGACTTGTAGTGTACGAACCCTGAATGCAATTGTAACAGCAGGTCGGGTTCAAAACTATTCGGGAATTGGAAAAGTTCTATAAAACCCAATTATACCCTTCCTTTGAGTGTAAAATTGAAAAGTTCAAGGCTCGGGTGTTCCACACTTCGGGCTTGGGTATGGCTGGCTGACGACGGCTAATAAGCCAGAAATGGCCATTCCAGTCTCCCTTGTCTTTGTCGGTAATATCATTCTGCCTATATATCATGCGCCGCTGTGCGGCTGCTGGTTGGGCTCGAGAGAGAGTCCATAAGGCACAACGGAACGAGTGAGTTCCGTATGAACGATCGGTGAGCGCCCCCTAACATTGTATATTCGCGATCGAAAAACCGACAGGGAAACGGGCTCGTGGCCCGGTGAGTAGAGACGTTGACTTCTAAACCAACAGGTCGCGAGCTCGAGGCTCGGGTGTTCCACACTTCGGGCTTGGGTATGGCTGGCTGACGACGGCTAATAAGCCAGAAATGGCCATTCCAGTCTCCCTTGTCTTTGTCGGTAATATCATTCTGCCTATATATCGTGCGCCGCTGCGCGGCTGCTGGTTGGGCTCGAGAAAGAGCCCTTAAGGCACAACGGAACGAGTGAGTTCCGTATGAACGATCGGTGAGCGCCCCCTATCATTAAAGACGTAATTTTCTGCTGAATGAGCAAAAGAATGAATATTTTCATGCATGTCTTCCATGAACCATAATTGAATCTCTAAGGGCATCGAAGGTCGATGAAAAAATGCATGTTACATAAGTAGTCACTTTTTACAGTGTGGTTTTTGCATGCAGCCGGAAAGAAGTTTGTTCGAAAGCCGGCGTGCTGGAGTAATTGAACTTATGCTGCACGATGACTGGTTTTACAACCCTACTTAATTGGTTTTTTCGAAACGGAAACGATTTCGGAATTTATGCTGAGATTTCATGAGTTAGCCCGCTTACTGTAGCTGTTCGCGATCGTGTCATACCATCGTAACCGGTCCTTGCGGAACTTCATGGGGCAGTCGGCGATATAGTAGCGCTCTCACTACGCGTATGTTGATTGGCCTTCTCTTTTTTTTCCAGAGCTCCGACAGCAGTCATGTGCAGGAATCAGACGAAGCGGCCCCAGCCTTCGGTTCCTATCACCAACAATACTGGTTAGACGGAGAGAAGCTGATTGCTGTCGGGGTCGTAGACCTCCTGCCCGGATGCCTCTCCTCTGTCTACCTCTTCTACCATCCAGATTACGCATTTCTACGTCTTGGTACCTATGCCGCCCTTAGGTTCGCTCGTGAGCTTCCTGTCTATTTTATTGCTTCCTTCTTTTACCCCCCTGGTTGTTACTGTCACTTGGCGTAGTCTGACTCGAGGGTTGTGAGCTCTTTTTCAGGCCTTTAGGTGGTGTGCATATGCCATATTGGGGTGTGGCCCAGTTGTTGGATGATGTCGCGCCAATGGGGATCCCTGCCGCCCCTATTTTTGTTGTTTAAAATCCTGGGCAAGTGTTTCTTGTGGACCAGAGGGTGCAATGGTACGCCTGGGTGTGGGTTTACGTCGTCCCAGCCCCCTGCAGCCTCTTCCTCCTCCTCCGGTCTTCTTGGCTGTATCCTGACATGCGACCCAGGTAGGGGGGGGGGAAGGAGATAGTGAGGTTTGTTCCGCGCAAGTCTACTACCCGACTGTAAAGCACACGGTGCCATGGAGGCCACACTAGGGAGCCATTGCAGCCCGTCCGGAGAGGACCCAGCCAAACATGTACAGTAGATGTTCTATCTTATTTAATGTTAAAAAAAATCCTGAAATTCGTTTTCCATTTGAAAGGATTGCTTAGGTAGAGCTCTCATGTTGATTATCATGTCGCATAAAGCCAATCTAGTCCAGTCACGCTAGGATGCCGGCTTTCATCGGCCACATGCGTAAACTGCATTCCTTGAAAAATGAGGGCTTATGCAGCATGAATCTTCCCCATTGATTCTCGGTGTGTTTTATAGAAAACGTGTACAAAAATATTCAATTTTTATTCATTTGGTGGCAAATTGTATCTTCAAATTTTATACCCGAAGAAAGAGTATCCTTAGATTTTAAAAAAGACTATAATTATGTCATTTCCCAAGACTGTGAATGTCCAATCATACGTCATCGCATCAACACATTTATTAATTCTGACTGTAAAGTGGACGACTTGGTCCACATCGGTTGAATAATCTCATGAGTCTTTTTTGACCTCTTCTAAATAACGTTTAGAAATATATGATTCTCTTTGCACGGAAAGTCCAAGGTTTATAGTTTGGAAACCTCGAATACAAATGTGACGGAAGGTCTTGTTAAAGATTATTCCAGAAATTGAAAATGTTTTTAAAAACCGGAAGATACTCTTTCAACTAGTATAAAATTTCAGGAAGACGTGGTTTGCTACTAAATGAATGAATTGGTAATATTTTTGCACACGTTCTCTATAAAATAAATTTGAATTTATAAAGGCGTCGAAAATCAATGGAGAAAACTCACGCTGCATGAGCGGTGGTCGATGAGAAGTTCTTTTGAAAGCCGGCATCCTAGCGTGACTGGACTAGCTTGGCATTATGCGACATGGTAATTAACATGACAGCCCTACTCAAGCAATCCTTTCAAATTGGAAACGCATTTCAGAATTTTGGTTAACATTACGTAAGATAGGCTATCTGCTGTACGCGTTCACTGGGTCCTCTATGGACGGAGGGCCAGGCTGCAACGGGTCCTTAGTGTGGCCTCCGTGGCACTCCCGCTAAGTTGGGGTCCGAGCCGTCCATTTATTGTTTTGGGGAAGACCTGGCCCATCGTGCGCGGACCCGGCGTGCGTGGCATTCGCAGACAGGCCGTGTAGCGTCCGACCCCGCACCCAGTCTTCTTGACAGCGGGCCAGGTTGATGAGGAGTCCGGTACAGGCTACGCAAGTCCACTACGACCGCTGCTACTACTACTACTACTACTACCGGCACTACTACTACGACTACTAACACCACTACTACTACTTATACTACTACTACTGCTGCTGCTACTACTACTACTACTACTACTACTACTACTACTACTACTACTACTACTACTACCACTACTACTACTACTATTGCTGCTGCTACTACTGCTGCTGCTGCTACTACTACTACCACTACTACTACTTCTACTGCTACTGTAAACTACTTCACGCGCCAATCACAACGGAGACGGCTTTCCTAGGGCTTTTTTGACGACGCCGATCCTGCACTTCGTTTAGACTTAATGGCGCAGGTACGCAATGCTGTCCGGGTGAATGTATCACGTTTCTGCCTTATTGTTTGTTTGTAGATTTTACTTTCCTCCTCTTTTTATTACCTTGTCAGGGAGATCGCATTCGTGCGAGACTTGTACAGGCGCTACGGTCCAACCAGCCCTCGCCCAGACAGCCGGTTCGCCGACTTCACTTATTACTACGCCGGTTACTACATCCACTCATGCCAAAAGATGCGCTACAAGGCCCTGTTCTCGCCTTCCAGCCTAGCCTGTCCCGAAACCTACCATTGGGTGCCGGTGGAACGCTGTACCCCTCTGCTGGACCAACACCCGTTCGCGCGTTTTTCTGACCCCTCGGAACGTGACGAGGACTCAGTGGAGGCCCTGTCCGACTCGGAACTGCTTTCCAGACTGCAGTGTCTCCTGCCTCGGTCGGACTCCCTACTGAAATGCCTGCCTTCGCGCAGTTATTCCACCTGGTCAGAGGAAGGGGACACCGGTCCCCTGCGCATCCTGCTGTCTGTGCGCGTCGCCTCTCGGGTGCTGACGGATCGAGCTGTCAGTCAGGCCCTCCAATGGGCCCGTCTGGTCGGCAGATCCTGCCTGGACGGACGGATAAAAATAAACTTTGGGAACTAGAGTGCGCCGTTTTATCTGTCTTTGTTCTCTTACTTTCCTAATTACTTTATCTCCAGAGTGTTCTCAACAAAAGTCCTGTCGCTCTCCCTCCGTTTTCTCTCTTATCACCTGTTGCCCCCAGTGGTTAGAGGCGTTGGACTTCTAACTAACAGGTCGCGAGTTCGAGCCTCGGGTATTCGGGTATGACTGGCTGACGACGGCTAATAAGCCAGAAATGGCCATTTCAGTCTCCCTTGTCTTTACCGGTAATACCATTTGCCTATTATCATACGGCGCAGTGCGGCTGCTGGTTGGGCTCGAGAGAGAGCCAGTAAGGCACAACGGAACGAGTGAATTCGGTAATAGCGATGGGCGAGCATCCCTCTACCATATGATTTTGTAGACGACCATGTCTGTCCGACAGCTGGTCTGTAAAACACCGCGCCTCGGCACTTTGGCTGTGGATGTTATGAGTAGATGATGGATAATCCCTGAAAAAGAGCTTTAAGCTCATGTCGAACTGTGCCGTCGCGCTAGACCAAAGGGGAGTCGAACAGGTGTGTTGGGCGCGCCACGCCAGTCTGTGCGTTCGAGCCCATCGTTTGCGAGTAGGCCCCACAACCAGGACTGGCACATGATGGGCAGGATAAGCGTGGGACCAACCCATGAACACACTTTTCTCACTGTAGTCACTCTGATGTGCTGCAACGCTATCACTACCCACTAAAAGCCGTGTTTCGGAAGACTGGTACACAATCACCTGTCGGTGTTATTCCTTGGACACTGGGTAACCCACTCCTCCCTAAAACCGGACTGAGCTAAGAGTCCAGTAGGCCGCTGCGGCCGTCTTCACCCCTTCGGCTCACCTTGTTTTATCAATGACGCACGATTGGCGGAATGAGCCCGACCCTGTGCAACTTCAGTATAATCACTCAACCCGCATTTAAGTTATCACGGTGACTTAAAAGTCCTGGCGGTATAACTCGGGGCCGAGAGCCAGGTCGCGACGGCTCCACTATGTGGTCTTATGATAGCCCCTATCGGTAGACTTTGCACAAAGCGAGGCGCAGGAGAAGCGCGACACGCACGGCGGTCTTTTTGACCCAGTCCCGCCAATAGAACACTAGGCGCGTGGGCGGAGAAAGGCTGAAGCCAAACCAGGCTCCCACACTGCAACCCCACTGACGTGCAACTCACAACTGTTGACCCCACCTCCCCCCAGTGCTGGTGATCCTCGTAGACTCCGACAGACAGCCCGTGGATCTGGTGGGCTCGCGTCCTCGCGTGGTGTTGATGGTCCGCCCTGGAAACTTAAGCAGCTACCTATTGGTAGTGCGCTGTTCAGTGGATCGACGGTACGCGCACACGAGGGCACAGGAAGAATGGCAATCCAAAGCGGGCCTACGGAAGCCGTACAGTTTTCGTGAGGGTAAACACGTCTACAGTAAAAAAAATCGCCCGTTCACACCCACAAATCTTCAGCATATCGGTAATTGAACCGGCGGCACAAGCGGGACCCTTCGAGTTTGGCTCATGCGCAGCCGAAGGCCCCCATTAGGACCGCGGGTCTTAAAATGGATTCGTCCCAGTGCGTAGAGAAGTCAATTGGGTTTCCTTGATAAACTGGCTGTGAGGGTGGATGTATTTCGATTGAAAGGGGGAAGAGGGGAAGGTCCAGTGGGGAGCTGTGTACATATGTGCATGTTTAACGGAAGACTGGTCCCGGCTGGCGGAGTCAGCGTCTAATTCCTGTCCTATCACAGTGTCTTGGAGGATCTAAAAGAGCAAAGGAAACAGCTACTGATAAATTTTTGCGGAGAACCGTACATGTAGAGTCGGCGGCAAACCGTGGCTCTTGCAGCCTAGTGTGCGCTGGTAGTACTCCGACACCTGATTCCCTGCCAGCAGATGCGCTTGCGTCCCCGCTGAACATACAGGTTGTGAGCATGGCTGCCCAATCGTCCTCGTCTTTCTGACCCGTTGTTGTGCTGTCAGTAAATGTCCTGGTCAAGTGTTTGTTGTGGACCAGTGGTGGTACGCCTAGGTGCGGATCCCGCCGCGCCAGACTCCTGTGCCTTCTCCCGCCTCCGGTATGCTTGACTATGTCTTAACACCGGGCCCAGGTGGGGATGAGGAGAGAGTGCGGTAGATGATGCGCAAGTCTACACACTATAAATTCATGTCCAATTCAGCGTGTCTGCTGCCCCTTGCTGGACATGGACGGGCATCACGGTTGAACTGTTACAGTCGGCGGCGATGGAAGCAGTATCCAAAAGTCCAATTACTTAATCTAGTTGCTCAAGAAGGAAGTGCTAACACAGACGCCGCAGATATAACACAACCTCGGTGGCTAGTCTGGGTTAACCATGTCTTGACAGTAAAACACTTAGTTGGTCAAAAGCGCCCCTTGTCTAGAGCCACCGAAGACGAATGAGTTTAGTCAGAACATCTGGAAGAGAATTAAGCAGTTTTTACCTCAAAACTGCCCGGCATGGTGATATTCTTCAGTGGACCTGAGGTAGATGATTATTTTGAGCCCTGGGTGCATCCGAACGCTCGCAAACTTCCCTCAGTAGAAGCCATAAAATGCAACAAAAAGGCCTACCTCTGCACGAAGTGTCATGTAGAGAAAAATTTAAGATTACGTCGAATAAAGCCCGGAATCCCTGATGTATAACGGTTTCTGTCAGGCCATGACAACTGAGGGCGTGGGAATGCGGACTACTATCACAGAATATCTCGTGTTTGCGCTGTGCTATGTACTTAGGCGCCCTCTCGACACCAGCCTCATCCGTTCTAACTTCTAGAAACGAGGATGAGGTCGCAGTTCACAGCCTTCATGAAAAGTCGACAAGAGGCTGGTTATCTGTGTCCCATAAACTCTGGAGGAAGGGGGATGCAGTATTTGCAACATCAGGGACGCTCGAAGAACGTGCGCCCTGTTCGATTTTGGTCGCACTGGCCGCGACGGCTTCCCACCCCAATACGCCAGGGACTTGCCGCACTTGGTCAGGAAGCGTACAGACGTCGGCAGGGGCACACTTACGGATGTGATCCCAGCTGCTGCGGGCATCACTTCTTCGACTTCTTTGCCGACTTCTTCGGACGCGTCTGTGGCTTGGCAGCAGCGGCACAACCGGGGACAACCACCTTCAGCATGGCATGATTGGCCTCCTTGATGTGTGCAAAGAGTTTATTCTTGGAGGGAAACTCCTGGGAGCAGACCATGCAAACGAACGACTCCTGTGGGACGCTCTGGTGACCCTTGGCCGGATGGCCATCTAAAAAAAGGGAGTTGGTAATAACATTGACTGGGCGTAAGCAGCTTTTCTTGGAATTTCGAGCTGGATACAGTCTTGGAAGCTGGAGCTAGATGGAAAGGCGGGGAAGACAAACACCTACCGTTTTACGTATCGTGTTGGTGAGGATTACCTTGACAGGAATACTTGGGAAAAATGACCTTTTCTATTGATTCGCGAGGTATGCTCCAACAATTGGTATTTGCACAGTTAGTAAAGGTTCAGTCTAAATTCTCCTCTGTGATACCATATCCTCTAAAAACCAAACATTTTAATCATATGATCCTTCAGAGATGACTGTGGTCTATAGGCTGTTTGAAAAAGGACGCTCTTTCAAAGCGTATTTAAGAATTCCATGATATTAGGCATGCGTCCTGAGTGGGTAAAATGAGCACATTCAGAGACTTCATGTTGACAAAAATGAGGCTTGAATCTCCTGTGGACATTCTTGGATTAAGTCCTGACTTCCGTATCAAACACTGCTGTAAAATACCTGGTTTTATGTACACAACCTACACATCCGTACTAACCATGACGCGTCGATCTAAACACCGAGTCATCTCATCTACGACGGAATAGATGGGAGTCTCAAAAATATCTCAACTTGCATTCTCTGAAGAAATAAAAGGAGTCGAAGTGAAGGAATATTTGAAGGCAAACGAATATTTCTCATCTGAATTTACCGAGGCTTTGCTCCAGCCTGTAGTCGGATCCATAACTCAAGTACTAGAGAAGTTAACTTTCGACTACACTTTATAAGCCCTATGATTCGTCGCTGACCTCGGTTAGTTATGAGGATGTTGGACCATCTTCCTGAAAAGGGAGTTAGCAATAACACTGATCGGGCATCAGCAACATTGAAGAATTGAGCAAGCTGTTCTTGGAATTTTAACCTGGAAACTGTGACTTAAAAGCTGGAATAGACCAAATGGCAAGAAAGACAAACAACTGTCCTTATTGTTATGCCGGCAAAAATGTTTTAGTCGGGAACATGAAGCTTCGATCTGTTGGGGATTCTTGAAATGTTTCTTTAGTGGAGTGGATTAAGCCCTGACTTCCGTATTAAACACTGCTGTGAAATAACTGGCTTTATGTACACAACCTACACACCTGTACTAGCCATGACGCGTTGATCTAAACGCCGAATCATCTGATCTGAGACGGAGTAAATGGGAGTCTCGAAAATATCTCAACTTACATTCCCTGAATAAAGTGCAAAGAATTGAAGTGTGCAAATATACGAAGGCAAACGAAAATGTCGCATCTGAATTTACTGAGGCCTTGCTCCAGTCAGACCTATGGCTCAAGTACAAGAGAAGTTAACTTTCGACTAGATCTTATAAGCCCTACGATTCGTAGCTCACCTCGGCTAGTTATGAGGGTGTTGGACTATCTTTCTGAACCACGACTGCCCATCCGGACATTTCGGGCAAAGTCCTAATCGACAGGTCTGGGAAATTTAAGGATGCTGTCGCTCAGATAAATACACATCTCGTTCACGTCAGGTGGTCTTCACCTGATTTCTTCATCTTGATGTCCTATCATCATACTAAAAGGGCCGCATGGGCCCCAAACCCGTGTCCGCAGACGACAGTAGTGGCGAGTAAAGATGTATAGGAAGTCTCCCGGACAACGCTTCGTCGGAATAATACCACGGCGCAGTTGACATGTCAAACAATTTTGCGTACTGCCAATTTTCTAGGACCATAACACATAAGAAATCGTCGGTTTATTATACAACAGTCGCGAATAGCTATCCCCCATTTCGTGACTTTGTTTGCTCCTATCCAAACCGGACTGCGTAGATTGATACTTGCGTCAGCGCACCGCATGCGTATCTAAGCAGACGTTAGCCAGTCGATGTGGAACTGGTGGATGCAGCGTTAGAGGACCACGACTCCGAGGTGGGCCTTTGGGTTCCACTAACCGACGAAGTCCAAGGCAGGATGGGGGCAGGAACGATGATCTGCTCGTGAATTCGTTTAAAGTGTATTTGCGCAGCATCCACCGCACCCTCTCCTCCCCCGATGTCATGACAGTGTCAAGAAGACCGGAGACAGAGCGGGGGGCAGGTGGCTGACAAGGCGCGAATCCGCACCATTGCGTGTGCTACAACACCTGGTCCACAGCCAACAACCGACTAGGATTTTGCACAGTAAGAAAAACGGGGAATCGGCTTGGATCCCAACCGGCGGGGCGTGAGCCTGCACGCGGGCGTGCCGCCACGTCTTCCCAGTGTTATGGGCGCGCATTCGCAATAACCCCTGTCGGACCCCGATATAGCTCTCGTGTTGGTCTAGCGCATCTACCGCGTGGCTCGTTTTAGGGGGCACCAGTAATGCCTCGACCGAGACCCTTTGCGGTGTTGAAGTCGAAATGCATATCGTCATAGGAGTTCACATCTGGACACTCTGCCACCAGTTGCCTCCGCAGTCGGCTTCAAGGTGAAGGCACGCCTACGGGACATGCAACAGGCCGCGTATCTTCTGTGTCGTGAAGGGCATTCAAATATCTGATCGACAAGCTCGAATCAGACGTCCGTGACACTCAGTAATTCATGGAAAACCTTTTCAATCGGAACTGTGGAGAGAGGAAGGTGGATACGAGGGTAGGGCGCGAAGTTTGTTTGGAATGCCGTGAGGTGGACGCTGGGAGGGCCATCAAGGCGTAGGTAGAATTGACGACTAGAGCGATGCATCGATTCAGACTTGTGTACGTTGGTCACTCGTTATCTAGACTGTGTCGGTACATGTCGTAAACGGCCCCATTGCCAATCTTAAGAGCACAGTTCGAATGTCCCAATAAATAAAGTTGGTCGACGAGGGTTGAGATCTGTAGTGTCGGACATGTTGAAAAATCGAGTTTAGGCTTCTGTCCGTAGTTAGTACCGTGGCGTCCCATCATAAACGGCGTGAAACCGAGGCCTTTTCCTCCAACGAATGAGTGCATGATGACGAGGGCTTGCATGCCGGTGCATTGGTCAGCCAGTTTTCGGGTCTCTCATTTCCTCGTCGATCGTATAGTGACCGCGGGTATGGTTGTTTGCGACGTTCCTCTCTCCTGTTGGCAAGTTGTTTTCCGAATGGACCAGCTGCCGATATGTTGCAGGTTTGACTTTATCCGTTAAGAGCGTGCTCTCCGAACCAAGTTCCTCTGAAAAGATGGTCGCAGGCACTGTAACTGTAGTCAGCTTTATGGACCGGGGTGAACCTTTCCTCATTGGGGAAGATAGTTTTTAGGTTATAAGTGGACGTCGGCGAGGCGTAATACGTGGGCTACTTCTATTTTATGGGATTTAAGCAGTCGCGAAGCGTAAAAGTCAAACGGACGGGAAGGCAGCCCCAGTAGTGTCCTCCTACTGGACTTGCACTATGACTTACTTAATAAGACTCTTGTCCAACGGGGCGGAAAAGACAGAAGAGCGAACAAGGCAAATTCCTTCGCCTTGAGAACCATATAATTTTCGAAGGAGAAAAAAAACATGCACTGCAGCCCAAACTCACTTTTTACAGCCTTAGAGCCAGGAGCTTTAACCGCCTCTACGTCCTCGCTCTCGCCTGTGTCCACCGGCACCTGCTGGCAACTAGTGTCGTCCCCTTTCTCCTCCTCCTGCTCTCCCACTTCTGCCTCAACAGGCTCCCGCAGCTGCCTCCTTCGGGCCTTCTTGGCACGTTTTGTCAGCTTTATGCTCGTCTTCTCTTCTTCGGGTTCCGGTTCGGAGTCCTCCAGCGGGATGCCCGCGGCTGTCAGCTCGGCGACGGCGTCTTCCTCGAGAAGTACAGCGCGCAGGAGAGCCACCTGCTTTTTGTGCTTCTTAGAGGCCTCGTGGTTGCGTTTTGCAGCCAAGCTGGCGAAGGTCTTGTCGCAGGCAATGCACTGCAGGACATCATCTTCCTCATCGTCCTCCTCTTCCTCTTCCTCAGAATCCTCCTGCCCCTCCTCCTCTGTTACCAATGACTGACTAGCTTCTAGGCCTGACTGTAATCAAAGAGACGAAAGGAGGAAGTGTACCGTCAGTTTTGTCAAAGACGGCTGTTCATAGATATTTTGGCAGGTTTTTGAATAATTCATATTGACCCAACTGTGAAAAACTCGGCGCCTCGGTGGGATTCGAACCCACGAGAGTAAGGGGATGGCTTTTGTACAGCCAACGCTCTAACCACTGGGGCTACGAGGCCCCGTCGGACGACGCGAGTTTAATCACATCTGGGTCAAGTTACCCGCCCAACCTACTGCAACGTCTGGAATCCACCTCGTAACTCAAGTGGTTAGAGCATTGGCTATAGAAAAGCCATCCCCTTACTGCGTGGGTTCGAATCCCACCGAGGCGCCGAGTTTTTCACAGTTGGGTCAATGTGAAAGACGGTTGTGTAAGGACCATCTAAGAAAAAAAAAGGGTGGCGCCAACTGGACCGAATCCCGAACTGTGCTGGGCTGCTGTGTGCTATTTCCTAAATTCCTTGAGCTTCCATTGGATTCCACATCAGTGTCATTTCTGAAGCTGCTGTCATTGATTTCGAAGACTATCTGTCACATGACCATGATGGATGGAACATTGTGATTGGCGTTTTTACTGATAAAAGCGGAGGTGGGACTTCAATCTTAACAGAAGAAGCTATCTGAAGGCAATTCATCTAACCGGTTAATAAAAACATTACGAAACGGCAGGCAGCTCAACATATAAGGAGGGTGTCAGCTGAAGTTCAAAGGCTTACGAGGCATGGTTAAAAAATTTTACGTTCTAATTGAGAGAGTACTAGGCATGTTTAGGAGGAATATGTGCCGTCATATTTTTGATGTGCAAAACAAACAGTCTCTTGGGCAGCTATTTACTGGAAGTCGAACGACCTGCGCAAGCTTTGTTTACCCCCTTTGTAGAGACAGCTAACCGTCTGGGATTGGGAATTGGTTTATCTTGAAACTGACTACCTGTTATTTTTTGTGATGCTCTAGGACTGCATTCGTGGTATAGGGAGAAACTGCCCTGAAATGTGGAGGACTGATAACAGTTACGAACAAATAGTAAAGTTTCCATTATCACGATTATATTTGCTATGAATTGCCTCCAGACACTATTCTAAGAGGACGCATAATAGCAATCTGCACCTATTTTTCCGAAAACGCTACAGTGATTTAAATTACCCGCGTCATCTTCGAACATTGCTAATTCTTCCATTTAGAATTCAAAATCTTTGGGGGGGGGGGGAGGAATTCAAGAAAACTTGAAACGATGATGTGCTCCAAAATCGGCGGTCCTGTGGCGTCGGACCCGAAGCGGAATCGGACGTTCTGTTATTGGACAAGTTTGAAGTGAAAATTAGCCTGCATCGCACATGCAGTTATCGACGCAATGCGGCTACCTGTTTATCTTCTGCGCTGCATAGCGACTCCATAATGACGTCTTACAATAGCTCTTATTGACGAGAGTATGGGATCCGTAGATGAGGACTTTTTCTATTAACGGCTAAGTCCGAGCTTACATCGGTTGCTCCTCGTCTTGTCTTGTCATTAGGGTAGGCGAGAGGAGTATGGTTTATGACACGAACAATTCGTCCACGCTCGCCAAGTATTCGACGTACGAAATACGCATTGAGTAAGATCTTGTTTCGTAGCCACACCTGCTGGGGTTAGTGTTAGGGGTCAGGTTTAGGGGTTAGTGTTAAACCCCCTATTGTCCCCGCTCCCGTATGACAGGCGGCGTGGGCTTGGCTACTGCAGGTGCGGCTACGAAATGAGATCCGACCACGCATTGTACTGGTAGTGAAGATGTCGCCCCCGCAACGGACAGCGATAGAGATGCGATCGGTCGAAAAGGGGGCTCAGGTTGGCCCTCGACACACGCGCAGGGTCCGAGCACGAGGGTGGCAGCACGCCTAGGCACAGACTTCACGACGTGTCGGTCAATGGGCCCAATCTCAGCACCAGGTCGCTGACAGGCTCAGACAGTGGACCAATAATCGGGAGGAAGTGTGACTGAATCCACTCCCTCCCCCCCCCCCACCCACGGCACATCAGGGCATGCCTCACTATAGCACGGAATTGCCAGGGCGCGCTACAAGTCGCAGCATGGAAGGCTGCCACTTATGAATGTGACTTCCATGGCACTCTCGCTCAGGTGGGATCCTAGTCATCCCCTTTTCGTGAGGGTCTGGTACGTGTCTGAGAGGAACAGGTCGTGTGTAACACGCTCGGGCGGGCTCTTTAGCCTAGTCGATCACCGTACTCGTGTCCGCCTCCGGTCGTCTTGACTCTGTTTTGCCACCAGGCCCGGCTGGGTGGCAGATGGTGCGCAAGCGCTGGTGTTGCGCCCATCATACGGTGGGCATCGTTGTTCGCGGCGGATGAACTGTAGTGATGATAATGACGGCGGCAGCGGCTACGACGACGAAGGTTATAGCGACCGTGACAAAATATCCTCAAACGCACACAGTCAAAATTACTGGGAACACACAGAAATGGTTTGTCCGCAAAACCTGATAGCTACTACAGGTACCACTGTGATTGAAGAACCGTTCTTAAGAAGTAAGGATCAAATCGGTCACATTTTATACACAATGGCACTTCAGCTGAATAAGAAGGCCCGCAGGGCTTGGCTTGCGCTTACCCTAAAACTGTTCTGCGAGACAGTGTTTGCGAGGCGTCCGTTTGTTGTGGGACGTTTCTTCCCTTCCAGCTCCGCTTCAATGCGCGCTAGCTCAGCCTCCATCTCCTCGGCCCACTGCGAGGCCAAGCTTCCGGTGGCTAGTTCTTCCCTCCATGCGGCCTGCAGTTCGTTGACATTCCTGAAATTCAGAGAAAGAGATAGATGCTGAGAGGAATAAGGCATTCAACTCAGCTACGCCCCCCTAGGCGGCATCAGAACCTACCTTTCCCGCGCCTTGTTGGCATTCTCCCGAGCTCTATTTGAGGCCGCGATCGCCGCTTCAGCAAGACGCTCGCGCTCGACGTCGATGCGTTTGTCCCGACGCATTACATAGGCCACCAGTTGGCGCACTTCCTCACTTCTTTTTCGACGTGCAGCCTCTCTGAGTTTGCGGTTCTCCGCCTCTGCTGCACGTCGCTCCTAAGGGGAGAAGAAAAGGGTATTATAAATCAGGTTTCTTTGTAACTAAGTTCATCTTGAAGTTGTCGCATTCGGAAGGCATTGCTTGTCCGATCAACGATTCGGCAGAGTTCACTTTACACAATGCAGTCTAACTGTTGCCTGCCTACACACTAGGCGGCGATCGCCTAGTCCGTGGAATATCTGTGCAGGGTAAGCGCTTATCTTAGTGTTTCCAGCGTAAGGTGTTAGCCAGAGATGTGGCAGGCTGAACAGGGCTGGAGTGTGTCCGAAACAGCTATCTCTGTTTCGTTCTAATTGGTCTGCTTCTCCCTATGCATGCGTGCATTCTAAGACTGTTCTATGTCATACCGTGTCGTCCATTCAGTCAGGAGTGTTCAGTCCGTGGGTAGGGGGTAGCGACAAAGCCATCAGCGAATATTGCCTGCAGAAGGGGTATGTCTGAAGAATAAGACATCGTGGAATATGCAGTACGCCAGTCGACCGCCGATTTGACGAATCTATTACGCAAAAAGTCACAAATCGAGGCGGCAATACTGCACGGTGAACGCTACTGGCCGCTGTCGCTTTATGAGTTAGGGACCTAATAATAAGCTGGGCGGGGCCAGGAACCACGTTTGTACCATATTCCCTCCAATCTCCACGCAACTTAACGACTTATGTCGTGAACATCGGAGCCGGCTGAACTGACATTGGGACTAAACGAAATAAAACTAAACTACAACAACGAACGGGTAGTCGTCTATATCTTCATTCCCGGCAAGAAAATGACAATGACCCAAGTGTGATTAAACTCGCGTCGTCCGGCAAGGCCTCGTAGTTCAGGTGGTTAGAGTGTTGGCGGTACTAAAGCCTTCCCCTTACTGTCGTAGGTTCGAATCCCACCGAGGCGCCGAGTTTTTCACAGTTGGGTCGATATGACTTATTCGAAATTTGCCAAAACATCTATGAAAATGGCAATTGTACGTATGTGCAAATTGTCCTCCCTGGTGATCTCTCTCTCTCTCTCTCCCTCTCTCTGTTGGCACTGATTCAAGTTCGCAGCTGATAATGATGATGCTGCTGCTGCTGGTGCTGGTGGTGGTGGTGGTGGTGGTGGTGGTGGTGGTGGTGGTGGTGGTGGTGGATGCAGTTGTGACTGCAGCATCCTACCAATGACAATGCCCCGTACCATAAAGTGACTTGCGCTGTGTGGTGCAATGCGCGAGAGCACAAAATCGACACAAAAGACTGACTTCTTAAGCCTTTGTCATTACGAAGACTGGTTGTCTGCTCCGGGAGTCGATATTTCAACTTCATGAAGAAAAACCCAAGATACATGGAGGGTGTCGTAGGGAATAAATGGGAATGATATGGATCCGAAATACACCTGCAGCGCGACCTATAGGTAGGAGCATGTTTAGCAAGCTTGTGGCGAGCTCGTGCGAGATTTTATAAATTCCGCCCTGAAAATGAGAATGAGTCGAGGTGGCACGACATGAACACTGGCCTAGACCGAAGGGAGACCTGCGCTGACCCGAGATATTAAAATCGCCTGCCTTACATCCTCAACAATTGGTGTATCATGCAAAAAAAGCGAAATGCAAAGCAGTCTGCCACGTGCTTCCCAGTTCGTACGAAAACTTACTGCACGGCTGTTCAGTCTACGAGTGTCGTACTTCTCGGCCCAGGCGTAGGATCTGCGCGAAGAGAATGCCTCCCAGAAGGCGTAGAATGGCCGGACAACAGAATCATAATCACTGTCCGCGTGGCCGAAGGGGGGAAAGGAGCTGGGTTGCCGTCCTCGAGCTGCCGTCCTCTCATCAACGTCCCGTCCCTCCTTCCCCTCCTCTGTATCACTGCTCTCGTCTTCCGATGCGCTGGCAGTCCAATCGCCGCCACGGCGTTCCTCCTTCGCAATGTCGTCAAAAACCTCCCTATAGACTGTGTAGAAACCCTGGTAAGGAGAGAATACAAGGAGGTTCATGAGAAATGCAAGCAGCAGGGGCATCGGAGGGGGAGGGTGTGGATATTCACCTTCGGTCCGTCATCGAAACCGGCGAAGCAGGAGCGAGAGAAGAACTGGAATACGTCCAGACTATCGTCCTTGTAGTCTCCACCAATTCCACCCTGTCCACCACGCAGGATCTCCTCGCGGTGACGATCATACCACGCACGTTCTTGGACATCGGAAAGGACGCTAGAAAAGAGGGAAGATAGGATATTATGTATTTTGCATGGACGCTGCCGGTTCAACTGGTCAATCGAACAATTACATTCACACCGGTGGAAAGATTCCAGCGTATCTGAAGAGAAGAAACGATAGATTCCAAAGATTGATGGAACACGTTGCGTCGCCCCAACACTGGCACAGACCTTCCCAATCGCCTTGCCTATCAACAAACCGGATCCTCGAAGTTCAACGTAGTTTTGAGTGCATCGTGTCCGCACCCGCGTACTGGCTAGCTTATGGGCCTTTCAGGGAACAAGGTCGCAAAACTCGCTGGTGTCGAAGAAATAAAAATCTTCGAGCCCCATTCTTGCTCCGAATAAGGAGGCCCTTGTGATTAATTTGTCGGCCTGATGAAGCAGGCAATGGGAAATATATTTGAACTAAGCTGTCCCGAAGGTGATAAGATACAAATAACATCATAACGGGAATAGAAGCCGTTGACGGGCTTTTACGAATCCCGCGAAAGTAAGCCAAAATATCTCAGTCAAAAAGATCGAACGTACCACTTGCTTGCCAGACCGGTAATCCTCTGCAAGTATGAGTGCTAGCTTCTTTGTAAGAAAGACGAGTTAAGGCCGCGATAGTGGCGGCAAGACAAAAAAGCGAGAAGAAATAGAATCTCAAACGCGAAACGATTGCTCAGGTCATTTCGTCAAAATTAAATAATGGGTTAAACAAATTCATATTATGGGTGCGGAGCTGACCGAACTACTACTGGCGATAGTCGGTGCAGTAGAAGAAATGGGAGCCTGAACCCACGAAAATCTAACAACGGCTGCATTTAATGAGACTTTGAGTGAAAAAGCGACATTGGGAAGAAGGCTACTTAAAGCCTCATTATTACTGAGGGTTGATGGCTATGCAATCGGAAATTCAATATAAAGAATCAAGAAGCGTCGCGAGTAAAGGCGAATGCGATGTCGACGACTACAAAGACGGAAACTATTACTCATACGGCGGCACCATAAGTGTTTTGCGTCGGTGGGTTTATTACACAAATTTCGCCTGACTTTGCCTTAAAGCGCTCTAAAAATACGTAATCAAAGACCAAATATTAATTCAGCCGACAGCTCAAGATGAAAACAAAATACGGGAATTAAATTTAGAGAACACTGAGCTGGTAACTGCAGTCTAAAATGAAGAGGTCACGTGCAGGAGTCGATAATTATTTTGACAAACCGGTATGCTTCCTGAATTTCCTGGAACCTGGCTGTGGCCTCTTCTAGTCTGTCATGATTCTTGTCGGGGTGCCATTCCAGTGAAGCCTTATAATAGGCTTTTTTAAGCTCGGAGGCTTCGCAGGTTCTTTCAAGCCCTGTGAAAATGAAATTATGGATCGGGAAGGTTCATACCAAGTACTTCGTAAAAGCAACGCATTCCGACTGGCAAGTTGGCTTATCCAAGTACTGAGGGGCCCTATTCAGTCTAAAAAAACAAAATTTGTAAGCGGAAGAATGGGAGAGTAACGAAATTGCTGGATGGGCACGTGACGGGGAAAGGGCACAGAATAAGTTACACAGCACTGATATTATGACGAAAGGTCCAGTTTCCTTCAATCTAGAAGGACATAAACGTAGGAAAAGGGAACGCGACGTCATTTGTTTCCGCGTGAGTTTCTGTTACTCTAATCGGACAGCCTGCTGCACTGAACCTCTTTAATCTTCTGACTTTTCCACTCAGGATCGCCTTTTAGAAACACGGCTCGAGGACACAGGCGTTCCCAGGGCGTGCATAAGATGTAACCGGGCCGGTGACAACACGAAATGAAAAATCTAAATTTACCGTACAAAGGGAGCAGACGGACACATGATGGCCAAACAGTAAGTAAACTGAAGTCAGCTGTTATACTTAATGATCCGTCTTCCTCATTTGTTAGCTGTTACATACAGAGACTGTCAGCCATGAACCGGGCGGAGTAAAATTTTTCGCCAGCTTTTGTGTCCAAAACGTCGTATAAAGATGCAATAAGCAGTAAGCAAGAAAGTTAGAGGAGTGATCTACACGCGTCCTGCGCAAATGATATAGTTGACAAATAGGCAAAAAGTCATTACAGCAGTGCGAATTCACTGCCACCTTGTACTTGAGTACCGTAAGTGGTCCATTCACTCCGGATTTCAAGATCGTGGAAAAGGATGTAGTGGGCCAGTCGTCCGGCAATGTCAAACTGGTTTGCGGGTAAATCGAGGTCCAGGTGCGAGGTTCGATGTATGGTTAAAATGAATACGCAAAAGGCAAGAGATTCCTGTCTCTTAGCCTCAAGATATGATCACTATGGATTCTGGTGCCAGTTAGGGGACAAGATATCTTAAACAGATGAGTATAATATTGTATTCTGTGCGTGCAATTAAGAGAGGCGACCCCCTAGAAGTCGAAAATCTATGTTCCAAAGCAGGGCGGTGCCTTTAATGGCATTTTACCATTCGTCTGATTACGGCCCTAACCAAATTATATTTCATTGACTGTCAATAATTTTTCACTTAAATTCCGATGCGCAAGTGATAAGGTTAAATAAAGGCAACTCAACGGTACTTATTCACTCTGATCCTTTCATTCTATTTTCTTCGTGCTATTTCACTTGCGTGATTGTGGCCATTCTGACTACATTACCTACGCCCTGTCTCTATAATGGTTCCAGTATTAACACGGCCAAGTGGAAAGTAGGAAAAACAGAACGCAAATGGAATTCCTACGAGGCAACCATGGATGGTCCAGTCAGTGAAACTTCAGTCGAATAGGCGTGCATGGAACGTTTATATCGGGAAGACATAAGGCTCAGGGGCAAGTAAGACCAGTGAGACTCGATACCAATGTCATTGGCAGCAAACAGACTACAGAAATTCTATCTTAATCAACACTTTGGGCTGGAAGGTACTTCGAGTCATCGTGTTACTTCAGGCACTTTAATGTAGGTAGCGTGAGGAAATATGGACTAAACTACGACGGCCAGGGCTCCAGAAAAAATGCACAAATTATCCGACCATAACCGCAATTGAAAGAAGCAGTCTTACATGGATTAGTCATCAGTAAATGAAGACGATTTCAGCCCTACAGTGGCTGAGCCCAGTCATGAAAACTCAAATGAGCACTAGACATTCGTTGGCAGTAACTATGTGCTGCAGTAGTGCAAAGCACGGCGCTATCGAGAATGATCCATAGTACGTGGTGACGGATGCAAAAAAGCCACTAACGAACTAGTGCGATTAATTGTAAATGTCATATGACAATATACACTGCTGATATGGCTTCCTAAAATGGTCCATAAAATCACTTGCAACGAAATGCGAAAACGAACAAAATATGAAAGAAATTTTGACGTAGACCGTTAAAGAGAAAAGGCGTCAGGAAATAAGAACACAAGAAAAGAAATGGCAACAAGCCGCCGACCAAACCACCTTTTCATTACAATGTGCCCAACCAATACCGCCGCCTAATTTTCAGCTTAGTAAAAGCCACACCTCTGTTGGATTTACACAAATTTGCAAGAAATACAAAGGCCAGGTCTCCGGAAACCTTAAATTCTGAAACCATTTGTTGTCCAAATAGTATATACTGGTTTTGTTAAGTTTAATTACATTAGAGGTATGACAGGAAACGACAAATATTCCGGCTTATGCCATCGCAGAAAAAAAGAGAAATGTTTACGGATGGGAAACTTAGAACCACGCAGGGGTATGTGCGACATGTATACGCCCGTCTTACTTGTTGTTATATTCGATTGCCGGTACAGCTACTTGCATTTGGCTGGTCCATGAAGGTAGGGAATCCTCTGTTTTGCCCGAGAACATGGAAAATGTTTTTTTCATTTCGAAAAAATATCGGCGTTTATATTTTTAATCCAATTAACCTTTCTGTCCATTTTGATGAAGTGTACATGTAACTTTCTCTTCGCTTGTACGGAAAAAGCACTGTAGATAGCATCCCTTGGACGCTGTCCATTTTCAATGATTAAAGATTAATGCGTAACAGAATGTCTTCTCAACACTTTTCAACAGAAGACGTTTAAATCGAGTGCCACTTCCCCCCGCTGTCTCACACTTTCCAAAAAACAGACTTAAAGAGCTATGGAAGCAGTTTAAAGGTTCTTCCGTGAGCTCATAATCAGTTCATCTAAGAATCGTCGAAATATTTGAACTAGCTTCAAAAATGAGGCTTGCGCGAGATAGGCACAGAGAGCGAGATTAATCACGTGAAAGCCTCTAAATCATTTGCTCAGATCTTCCGTCAAAGATTATCTGCTAAATCCCACCCAGTCATTTCGTCTTTGCTTAGTACCAATGATACCTTCATTAGAGAGGAGTCAGGCAAAGCAGAAATGTTAAGTTCGTTCTTCGTCAAACATTTCACCATTGAAACGGACCCAATCCCTTTAATTCATTCGTTGTTTGATGCCTCCCTCAGCATCATTAATTTTTCTCCTGAAACTATTCAAAAACTGATAAACCATCTTTCTAACTCTGACTGAGTAGGTACGGACAGTATCCAAAACTCTCTTATAAATCCGTTAAGAGCTTTTTCTCCTCTGCTTAGCAAACTCTTTTCAGTAAATCTCGTAAGTGCCCTCTTTCCTGACTATTGTAAAACTTCTACTATTATTGCACTATTTAAGTCTGGCTGTCGTTCTGATGTTCAGAACTATCGACGTGTCCATAGAACATCTTCTCTCAACAAAATCTTCGGAAAAATTATGACCTCGAATATTATCAACTCTTGCGTGGCCAATCAAGTTACCAGCCCTTCCTAGCATGGTTTTTTATTAGATCGCCTTTGTGCAACATGTCATCTGTCGTTTCTCAATCTACTTACTTCTCCTGGTAATGACCATCTATCTGTTTTCGTTATTTATGTTGATCTTAGTAAAGCCTTTGATAAAGTGCCACATAAAAGACTCTTGGTTAAATTGGAAGTTATGGGAATTCGCAGCGCCCTAATAGACTTTATAAAATAATAAGGAGCTCAAGGGCGAAAGCATCATTCCCTTCATATCCTGACTTAACTCATACCTGTGTAATCGTAAACAAGATGTTTTAGTGAGATCTTCACTTTCCAGTGTAAGCCCTATTGTAACAGGTGTCCTACAACTTACCGCTTTAGGTCGTCATTTGTTCCTGCTTTACATAAATGATATCCCGACGGCAGTTAAACGTTCCCAATCAGTTATTTATGCCGGTGATCTCAACTGTGTATATTCTTTGAATAAACCTACGAACCTTCATTGCCTGCAGCAAATCCATGCGACTTGCTCGCTCATTCAGCTGTGATCTCAAAATGGCTAATGCAATTCTCACCGTGTATGCGTTTCACCTGTTTTGCACCTGAGAGGCTACCCCAACTAGTGGTCTTTCAAGGCACACTTATGACTGAATGTACCACCATCAACGATTTAGGTTTAAGCTACACAAATACTCTTGACCTCTCGTCACACGCTGACAGAATTACAGCATTGTTGCCCAGATTTTTGTCTTTATTCCTTAAATTTCTATCTTTCCGAAATTAAATTAGGACACTCTCGTATGTTTGTACTCTCCAGTCTCAAGTATTGCTGCCAATTCTTTGGTTTGATGAACGGGGCTAGTCGTTCGAAAATTGAAAATGTTCAAAGGCATTTTACTAGAAGACTTTTAGGCACGAAACATTCACATATCTCCTAATCAGATAGATGCCAGCTAACTAACCATAAATTTGTATGGGCTCGAGGACTGGAAGCAGGCTTCTGTCTCCTCTTTTGCATTAATAATAGTTCAACTCTTCCTCGGATTTCAGCACTTACCCCTAGTAGTTGTCAATACAATTTTCGCAACTCTTCCTTGGTTATACCTCCGCCAGCTTCCTCCACATCTAAGCGCTCTCTTTCTTGCTTCCAGATATGCTTTCCTCTGGAATAACCTTCTTATAAATATAAGATCATCAAAAAATCTACACACCTTTAAGAGAAGGCTACGCCTTTGTCTGAATACTGGCTCGATTAAAGTTTTATTTTCCTCATCCTTCCCAGACAATTTTCTCTATGACACTGAGAAAGGGCCACCGGGAATTTAGGACGCCGCCATTAATTTTCCGTATCCGCCCATATTTCCTTCTTTTGTGTGTAGTATCGCTTTTTAGGATCCCCCATTATAAGTGTCAGTTTTTCGATTTTTCAGTTCATTTATCGTGCCCCTCACAGAATGCGCTCTATTTACGCTCTTGTCGGAACCATCTGTATTTTCCACATACTAGTAGTCTGGTCGCACTTTCCTTGCCCCCTCCTCGACTGGACTCGACTGACTGTAACCGATCGCATCATGGTTCCTATCACCTCAAGAGTGGTTTTCTATTCGCCAATTTGAAATGAATGGCCTCAGCCTGCATATGAATTCTGTCTTGATGATACCCGTTTC